TCCCTTAACTGTCATGGGGCTACCCTTCGTACTCTCGCGTTGTCAGGTTTTTTAACGAGCGGGAAAACCCTTCCCTCAAAGGCAGAGGCCCCCTTATGCCATGGCAGTTTTCATCTCCGCCCCCAAAGGGGAGACTCCCCCGTGTTCTTTTTCCCCTGTTTCAAAACGCCCCCCCCCACTTTGGTATCCCATTTCTACACCCCCCCCTTGTGGTTACCTCTCCCATAATCATCTGTATCAATCCTTTTGCTTCCTGGGCTCAGGCCCCTACTTCAACGCCTCAGCTAATCGCTTCTTCGAGTTCTCTCTTAAAAGCTCAATTCGACGAAAACCCTCGCGACACCTCTTCCCAAATCGCCCCTCATTTCTCAAAAGTAAAAAAAAGGCCCGGTAACTCCTACCCATCTTCCCACCCCTCTTTTTTACCTCCCTGTCTCGCCCCAGTTCTTCCCCTTCATGGCTCAGTTACAAGTGCAGGGGGTTCCCCCTTTCCCTCCTCGTAATGTCCTTCCCTCCCTTTTTCCCCCCCAAAGTTTCTTCCTCTTCTGCCACCTCCCGGGTTTTCCTGTCTCTTCTGCCCTCCCCACGCTTCCCAGTTCCCTCCCCCTTTCCCCCCCCCCTTCCCTTGGTACAGTCCAATACACCCAAATTTTTTACTCATCCTCCCCTACCACCCCAATATTGTTCCCTCGACATCTCTAAATTTCTGAAACACTTGAAGCAATCTCTGAATATATTGCAGAGCCAACCATCAATGGACACTGATCCCCCTTTCCGCTCTTTCCTCTCCTGCCCCACTGCGCAACCCTTTCTTCCAGCCCCGTTCCTTCGCTGCTTGAACTTTTTCCCATGCCTCCGCATGTGGACTTTTTTAACCCTCCCAGTCCGTAGGGGAAACCCCTTACCTGCGGATTTCAAGTTCTTTTCTTGCCATTCTGGCCTTTTTACAGTGGAAAATTTCGTGGCCCAGGGGTAATCGGGGGGAGCTTAGTGTTACCTCCCATTTGCCCCCGTTGGTGTTTGCTTCAGGAACCAAAATTACACTCTGCTGTTTTTCCACATCTAGGCTATAATTTATTTTATTTTTCGATCCTTTTCCTGATGGGACCTTTTAAAGAAAGGCCCTTTTTTCCGCCTGATATTCCGTCCCCTCGCATTTGTTCTACTTCGTGCATTACACAGAGCCCGTATCCACTTACATAGGTGGATACCTCGTTTTTATATCCTCTCCTTCCGGGCATTATCTATTCCGGGTTTTTTTCCCTTTCCTTTTTTCGTCATTGCCCCCAATTTTTGTTACTTTGGGGATTTTAATGCCCCCCATTTCCTTGGGGGGGGTCTCACTGTATTCCCCCTGGAATTTAGTTTGAGGTTTTTTTTGCCACCACCCCCCCCATGTTTTTAAAAACAGGTTCTCACACCCATTTTGATCCTCGCATCTACTCTCTCTTATCGATCTCTCATTTGCTCTTCCTCCGCCCCCATTGACTTTACTTGGGCTGTTTCTCCCGGGCTTACAGCAGTGTATTTTTCCAATTTTTTATTCCCCCCCTATTCGCCACCCCTTCGACCCCCGCTGGCAATTTAATCGGGGGAAATTGGAACTTTATACACCGACGTTTTTAAGAGGTTCCTTTTTTGTCCTCCATCATACTTTTCACCATTCTCATCCTGTTTTCCCGCAGCTTTCATTTATCCCCAAACTTGGAGGCATTCTCAAAATGCGTCCTTGGTGGTCTCCCGCTTGTGCTGTGCAGTAGTTTGAAACGCGCTGATGGGCAGGTACCGGTAAATTTTAACCACAGAGCGCTCCTTGATTTTTTCAGAAGCTGCGACGCTCGCCGTGTCTCCGTGACGCTAAAGCACTTGCTGGCAGTTAGTCTCCACCATCACCTCTCTTCTCTTGAGTGCATCTGGAAAAAAGACGAAAACGAGTGGTAAAAATTTTCCTGACCCGCTCCTTTCTGCGGGTGCCCGGGGTGATATAGAAACCCACTGATTTCAAGAAAATTGGGAATCTCTGGGCCTATTTTTCAGGGGCTCCACTATGCCCCCCCATTTCTTTCCAAAGTCTGAAGATTTGCACCCTTTGGGCTTTTCTTCTCTCAGAGAAAAAACGTAAAGTGCCTTTTTTAAATTCAAGAACTGGGGGCAACACTCTCGCTTGTCGATCATCGGCAGCTGGGCCCGCGAATTCATATTCGTAGCTACAAAATTTAATCAGTCAGCCCTTGCGTCCTATTTTGCCTTTTTTCATCTTATTTGGTCACAAGGAGTTTTTTCCAGCGTGGAAAAAACCCCCTTGTTTCCCTTTCCGCAAACCAGGCAAGGGACTGAAACCCCACTATCGTCCCCTTGCCTTACCGTGCAGTTTGCAAAGTAAAGGAACGTTGTAAATAGATTTGTGTGGTATTTAGAGACACACACGTCTCTCCCCTCGTCAATTGGCTTTCGTAAGGGGCGTTTACCATGACCCCCCTTTCGCGCTTGGTACGTAGTTGTAATGCCTTTGCGAATAACCCTCAGTTATTGCCATATTTTTTGACTTTAGAAGGGTATGCACAACTTGGGGGTTAAATTTTTGCCCAGCCCCCTCCTTAGGCCTTCGAGGCAAATTACCCTCCTTCCTTTAAAAACTTTTTAACGAAGGGATTTCCGTGTTTGGGTTAATAATGTTCTCCCGGGCTTTATCCAAGTGAAGGTGTCCCCCAGGGGTGTGTTCTGAGCACAACCTTTTTCTCCTTTTATTAAAGATTTGGCCTCAGTCTTTCCCTCAAAAATTTGGTCATCATCTATGTTGATGACTTTGTATTGTGTGCAGGGCTGTGTCACCTCCTTAAGTTTTCTTCCCGCATGCTCGACCGTGTTTCCCAATTGGGCCACCACACAGGGTTTAAATTTTCCGCATAAAACCCCCAATCATTTCACTAGACGTCTGTCATTCTATCTCCTTTGTACCTCTTGGCTCCGTATCCCCGAACGTGATACAGTCAAGTTTCTGGGCCTCCTCTTTGATGTAGGTTATCCTGGAAACCCCAAATTACCTCTTGAAGGCAAAATTGTCACAGCCCGGGTGAACCTTCTTTTAAAAAACCCTTTTCCCCTTTTGGGGGAGTGACGCGAACCCCCTTACCACATTCCCCCCTTTTTTATCGAAACTGATTATGGTGACCAGATTTTCAGCGGCATCTCCGCTTCTCTCTAGCCCTTTAAACCCCATTCACCCAAAGGGTTACGTTTATGCCTTGGTGTTTTCGCTCTTCCCCCCTCGAAAGCCTCTATGCAGAAACGAACGTTCCCTCCTTATCCGATCGCCGTGATGCCCATTGCCTGCGCTCTTTTGTCGCTTCATGATTCCGCAATCCCTTTCCCTTTAAGAAAGGTCATGTTTAGTAGACATTCTTTATTTGTTCGCCCCCCCGCTTACTCCCCCCTTTCTCTTCGCCTTTATTCGCTCTTTTCTTCTCTTCAACTACCACCCTTTTTATGTACATGTAGCATCCACTTTTCCCCCCCCCCCCTGGGAATTCCGCTGTTCGGCGTTTTTTCTCCCCCCCCTTGCTCGAAAGCCCAACTGTCTACGGGCGCTTCCCCCCCTCTTTTTTTCTTGCCACTTTCACTCTCTTCTCATGCCATTGCTGTGTACACAGAGGCTTAATCTTCGAGGGCGTGGGATTCGCAGCAGTTTTTTCCGGACAGCGCGTACAAGGGCTTTACTTCTTCCTGTTTTTTTACTGCGGAATTATATGCCACCCTTTCAGCACTTATCCGTATTGCATCTAGCCTGTGTATTTTTTGGGGTTTGCTCGACTCCCTTAGGCTTTACAGGCTATACAAAAATTTGATACACCTCCCCCCTTAGTCCTCCGTACCAAATTTTGGGCTACGCCGCATCTTTATAACAAAAGTATTTTTTTTTTTTGGGGCCCCCTGGCATGTTGACGTACAGGGCATGAACGGGAGCACTGCTCGGGGGCAGCAGTAATGACTACCATTTTCTTATAGGGGATTCCTGTACGGATATTTTTTGCTGTAATATCTTCCCCACCTTCACCCCTTTGGGAAAACAAAGTTGGTCTCATGCTCGGCAAAAACTTCGTTTTTAAAACCGGGTAAGGTTACGGCCCGTCTTCTTATCCCAGTGTCGGGGTTTGGGGAACTACTCTCTCCGTTTCGCATTGGCCATACTCGTTTATCAGGGATATCTCGGGAGAGGCGTCTTGCTCCTCTCTGTGAAAATTTCCCAAGCTCCATTATCATCAGCCAATTTGTTGGACTGCCCACTTTATCAACGAGCAGCAGAATTTCCCTCTGCGTGTCTTCGCCCGCTGCTCTCTCTTTACCCCTTTCCCCTTTTCCCCTGAGGACCCCCCTTTCATTTCCCGGGCTCTCTCATTGATTTTTTTACAAAAAACTGACTTACTCCACAAATTTTTATACTTTCACCCCCTTTTTTTGTATCTCTTTACCCTCTACCCCCGTACTTCCCCGCCCCTGTTTTTTTGTACCCCGCTGATCATCCCCCCCCCCCCTTCTGCCATCCAATTCCCTGCTTCCTTCCCCCCTGCAGCGCTGTATAGCCCCTTTTGGGGTTAGCGTTCTTTTTTTATTATAAAATAAAAAATCGGTTAATTCGGGGGAATGGAGCACAAATCCAATTTTCCCCGAATCAAGAGCCCTCACCAAAAAATAAGGAACCTTCCTTGGGGGGTTTTTAGCACCAAACTTTTATTAAGGTTAGGGCTAGGTAAATTATTTTTTTTATGGGGGAAGCACTAAACCAAGGGGTCATACTGCCTGGAGCATTTAGGTTCAATCAATAAGGGGGGGGGAAGTCCCAATTTCCTTTGGGTTAAGAGCCCCCCACTGGGATCAAAGAGCCTCCCCTTGAGGGCCTAGAATAAAACATTTTAGAAAATGTTATATCCCATACTTTTGTTGCCTACCATTTCACTTCAAATATTTGTCAATTTCACAATCAGGCTCACTGAAAAACTAAATTATCACCATTCTTTAATACTTTCCACAGAAAGCTTATAAATCTTGATAAACATATACAGTACTATATACATTAAAAAATTTAAACACTTGTGTTATGAGCCAAGTGCCACACACCTGGAAGTTGTGATATTTTCTGCAACCTTAATGGAAAACTGAAGAAAAATACAAAGTAAGCTTTCATAGTAACTGTTTTGCTGTGGACAGTTGTATCAAGTCACTGACCACTTCAAAACTGTCATAATGAAGCTCACTCCTGCACGTCTCTTCAATATCAGCAGGAATATACCTTTATAGCCACTGAGGAAACACTTGGAATGTAGCTATATATATATATAGCAACAATTTTAATTTCCACTGCATACATATGATACACACTACTACTACACAAACTAAAATTTGGATAGCTATCATACACAACACTGATTAACAGTTCTTATTTATCATATCTACATATAAATTATACAAGATATACCAGCTACACTAGCTACCATGTTAATGTAGAACTATGTACACCACTGAAAACTGCAGCTAAACAGACTTAATAAAAATTAGGGCAAGTTGTTCCAACCTTATACTAACACTGAGGAACCTGTAACATGTGACAGGACCAGTATCAACTTTTATGAAAACTAATTTCACCCAAAATATTTTCTTAAAATGTTCAACTGGCAATGTAAAGTTTTCTAGATGAATTTCTTTAAATTGCCTAAAGCAGCAGGCAATTAGAAGTTCAATATACTGCTAGAGATGAGCACTATATAGTTTAAGAAATAGTTCAGGTCATGGTTTCACTATGACCCATACAGGTTTAGCACTCAAGCTGATATTAGTGCTTGAATTTATTATATTTTTATTTATGGTTTCACATGGCAAACAAGTATCATCAACTATTGTTTTTTTCCCTGATAATCTCTGTGGAATGACTTAATAATCACCAGCTAATATTAAAATTCTTACATTTATGCAAGCTATAAAAGTACAAGGCAGGAAATTCATACACTATCAATATATACCACTCAGGGAAGGTTCCTTGATGTTGGTGAGGGGCTCTTGATTTAGGGAGTTGGATCTGTGCTCCAGTTCCCCGAATTAAGCCTGAATGCCTTCCATATCCCCCCCCAGCGCTGTATAATCCTATGGGTTTAGCGCTTCCCCTTGATTATAATAATAATAAATTTTGTTTACACAACATCCTACCTTTAAATTTTAAATGATAAAGAACTTATTGCTAAAAATGAAAGCTGATTACAATAGCAATATATTTATATTTCATTAAGAAAAAGCATTTCCATAAATACTTCAAGTTTTATTTTACCTGTAAACTTGAAAATACTAAAATTAAATTTTGAAAAAAAAAAAATAAAAAAAATAAAAAGATATTTTAGAGAATGTGGATGTAGTTGTCAATCTTAGCTCTGTGCTTCTGAGCAATACACTCAGCAATCCAAACAATGTTCCGGCACTCTTGTTCCTTTAGTTTGAGATATGCATAGAAGACGCCAAAATGAAACTGATGCAGGAAAGAATTAACATTCAACTTTACTTCATGCTCAAAGAACTTGTCCTCCAGAGTCTTCTCTCCAGGGTTGCTGCCGGCTCCCTCAAACAGTGCACGGTACTCCTTTAGTGAAATGAACAACATTAAACCATTAATATTTCATAAATATCTAAGTTTAAAAAAGTTATGGCTTCCTGAGCTATAACTTTATGTAATGCAAGTAAAAAGTTAGCAGTGCAATTGTCATATCAAAGCTCTCTACTACACTGCAAATTCTTGCCTTTTATTTATTTATTTAATAATTTGAATATACAGAGGTACAAAAAAATACAGGTAAGAGCAGCATGCCAAAGCCACTTGTATGCACAGCATTACGGGCTGGCTTAAAATTAACTTAAGATTAACTAAGCAATGATGTAATCAGTGATAAAACATTATTGTAAACAGATAACAATGAAGCACAAATGAGTATTACAAAGACAGGTCATATGGTTGCATGTATTGCTGTACATTCAGTAGAATGGAGTATTCTGTTGGGTAGTGTATTTAAAAAATAACTTCAATCAATTCAAATTGTGGCTCTAGTGATAATGTCTGATGTCTTCTTTCAACACACCGGCCGTATCCCACCGAGGCAGGGTGGCCCAAAAGAAAAAACGAAAGTTTCTCCTTTTACATTTAGTAATATATACAGGAGAAAGGGTTAGTAGCCCCTTGCTCCTGGGATTTTAGTCGCCTCTTACAACACGCATTGCTTACGGAGGAAGAATTCTGTTCCACTTCCCCATGGAGGCAAGAGGAAATAAACAAGAACTAGTAAGAAAATAGAAGAAACCCAGAGGGGTGTGTGTATATATATGCTTGTACATGTATGTGTAGTGTGACCTAAGTGTAAGTAGAGGTAGCAAGATGTACCTGAAACCTTGCATGTTTATGAGACAGAAAAATGGACACCAGCAATACTATCATGTAAAACAATTACAGGCTTTCGTTTTACACTCACTTGGCAGAACAGTAGTACCTCCCTGGGCGGTTGCTGTCTACTAACCTACTACCTATAAATGTCTGATGTATCCTTACTTATTACTCAATTTTTTTTTTTCAACACGTCGGCCGTCTCCCACCGAAGTATTAAATGTGAATATTTTAAAAGTTCACAAAATATCAAATGCACCTGCTTGTCTGTGTACATTTTAGTTTACTCATGCATGTTATGTGCAGACCCATTCAACTTCTCTGAACATTGTCCTAAGATGTTGCATGGTTGAACCAAGATAATTTCACAATACTAAACAACTGCTGAGTGTTAAGAAATAGTTAATGCACTTAGTTCCTTTTCAAGGCTGGGTTGAATTTAGCCTTGACAACTGCCATCAAATAACTTCAGAATCTGGGCAACATCCAGCATAACAAACATGCAAGGTCAACTTTGAAAAAGGAAGAATGTATATATTGTACATGTACTTGAATCAGCATCTCCCAATATGGAATGAAAAATAAGCAGAAGGTAAACAGAAAAGGGGAGGGAAGTAACTAGTCAGAAAGCAGAGATTAAAAGGACATGATAAAGAAATATGACTAATGAAAATATCAGCTTGAACAGTTAATGGTTGTAGGGTTATAAAAACAAGTAAGGTAACAGACAATGAGTATCTCAAGTTTTGTAATGAAGGAGCATTACTCTTCACACAGGCTTTTGACAAGACAAACGAAAAGCACATCAACACATCCCTGGTGGACAAAATCAAGCTGGGAAGGAATAGTTACTGATGATTAACCCTTTCAGGGTCTGTGCCATAGATCTACGGCTTTACGTTCAGGGTCCAAACCGTAGATCTACGCCATGAGCTCAGCTCACTCTGATAAACTGAGTGGTAAATTTGGGCCTAGATATGAGAGAATACATCTGTGTGGTATGTGTGCACCACATAAAACAAATCCTGCAGCACACAGTGTATGAGAGAAAAAAACTGACCGTGATTTTTTTATTAAAACAGAGTTTTTCGTATGTTTTTTATAGTTGTATTTGTGATTTCTTGGTCTCATTTGATAGAATGGAAGACATATTACAGAAATAGAGATGATTTTGATTGGTTTTAGCACTGGAAATGGCTTGAAACTGAGCTCAAAGTAGCAGAAATGTTAAATTTTTGCCGATGTTCAAGAGTAAACAAACGACCTCACACGTCTAATACACGCCAGCTGGTGGGTCTAATATACATTCACAAATGTGGTGATATTTATACAATTATTACAATATTGCATAACAGTAAATCTTCTATTTTTTGGTTTGAATAAAAATGCATTATGTGAATAAAAAATAAAAATGGAATTCATTTGTGAAGCCTCAAAACCTAACTAATGAACAGAGGAAATGTTAGTTTAGTTCCAGGAATACCTACATTGTTTATTCTGGACCCTATTTTGAAATTGGAATATTTTGAACTTTGTGTTAAATTGGCCAAATTACCAATTTCAGATCACTTTATTTTGTAGTTGAAACGGTTGACTTGGCGATTTCTTGTGCTCAGTCGATAGAATAGAAGTAATACTAGTGAAATAGCTAAGAATTTACTCGACTGGAGTAATGTACTTGGCCTAAAATGGGAGTCAAAGTCGGCAAAATCGCCGATTCGTAAATATCGCTGACACATCAAAATTCGCGAGAGCATAATTTCGTAAATTTTCCATCAAATTTCGTACTTTTTGTTTTAATACCTTCAGAAAAAGATTCTCTACCATCTCATAAGAAAAAAAACTTTTTTTTTTTTAAATTCTTGGACCCTGGTGCACACTTTGAAATTTGGCTTCTGGACCCTGAAAGGGTTAAGCCTTTCAGGGTCCGTTTCGTAGTTCTACAGCTTTGAGTTGTGGGTCCAAACTGTAGAACCATGCCAACATTATAGCAGCCTCAAATTTAGCTCGAGAAGGCTGGTAGGCCTACATCTAAGACAATGGGTCTGCGTGGTCAGTGTGCGCAGTATACAAAAAATCTGGGTGCCTGCATGGCATTGTGGGAACGCCACCAAAGTAGCTTTGTTCACCATGCCTGGCGGCAAGGAAGCTCTCACTCCCCAGGCGAATTCTGACTCTCCTCTTCCCAAGTTATAATTCTAAGACTGATGGAAGTGGATATCAAGAGGAATTCTATGGTACAATGGTACCATATGGTACAGTGTACAGGAACCCTAATGGAAATAAGTGTGCCTTTTTGGGTTATCCTACATTCTCCAAACATATGCTGCTATTTATGATAATCTATGTAACTGTATTTGTGTATATCTGAATAAACTTATGCCACATGTGCTTGAGTAAGTTTATTCAGGTGTGCACAAATACAGTTACATAGATTATCATACATAGCAGCATATGTATAAAATCCCAGGATAACCCAAAAAAAGTCAGGGAGACTTATTTCCAAAGGGATCCATGTATCTGTACCATATGGTGCCCTGTACAATACGCTACCCTGCACCATATGGTACCCAGCACCATATGATACCCTGTAACATATGGTCAGTAGGTGGTGTTGGTGCAAGACACTAGCCCAGACAGAGTGGGACCCAAGCCCTGACTCAGCAGTTTCCAAGACAAAGCGCTTCATCATCCACCTCTAGCAACATGTCCAGTGGCTGTACATATGTAAATATATAATAGAACATTACTAATATATAACATTTTTGCATATTTTTTTGTAAATAATTATTGTAAATGAAATAATGATGAAAATATTAGTGCAGTTATTGTGCTGAATACAACAGTACCATATAGTACCACATGTTACAATGGCACCATATGGCACAATGTACCATATGGTACTATATAGTACCATTGTATTCAACACAATAACCACACTAATATTTTCATCATTATTTTGTTTACAATAAACTTGTTTACAAGTTTTGTAAGCAATATAATGATAAATTAGTGCTGTTATTGTGTTGAATACAATGAGTGTACAATTATACATTTTATTGGTCTCACAGGCCACAAAAGTTACTGTAAAAAAATATTAGAAAAGAAAAGAAAAAAGTAACAAAAACAAAATAAAATAATGAGACTTTACGGAAGTAGCGGATGTTGCCACCACCAGGTCACTGAGGGTCAACTTCACGCCTCGTTATCTCGGCAACTACTGATCGAAATTTTTTTTTATTTCCTACAGAAACTTATCTTTAATTCTGTAATAATAATAATTTTTTTTTTTTTTCAAAAAAATTCTTGGACCCTGGCACACCCTCTGAGATTTGACCTCTGGACCCTGAAAGGGTTAATACAACCGAGCTCCATAAGTTTTGATAGAATCAAAGCCATTTGAGGATGAAGATCTATCAACCTTTACCCCAAGATATGACAGTTTTAAGAAAATTCAGTCTGCCAGCATAGGTCTCAGGAATATCACAATTTCCATAGCATGACTCATGAAATTGTAATGACACGAGTTTTGAGACTCTCTGACCGCGGGTTCAATCCCGGCCGGGGTATGGTTTTTTTCCATAGCATCCTACAAAGTCCTTTCAAGTGTCTTAATGCTAATGAAGAGTTCTTGATTCAAGAAACAGAAGCTACCCTCCTCTTCCTTGTATCAAACTATACCTTATTTTTCATTTCCCAGGTACCTGATGACCCCTAAAGATTTAGCACTTTTCCATTAACCCTCTCACTCTCCATTAACCCTCTCACTCTCCATTAACCCTCTCACTGTCCAGATCCTGGATCTGAAAGTTGTTCACACTGTCCAAGAATTTTCAAAAAATAATTTTTTTTTCTTATGAAATGGAAGAGATTCTTTTTCTGAAGATAATAAAACATAAAGTACAAAATTTGATGGAAAATTGACAAAATTACACTTTTGTGAATTTTGCTGTCAAGTGATATTTACGCATCGGTGATTTTACCCACTGTGAGACCTAGGTTAGGCAATTATATTGTTCCAGTCAACCAAATTCTTAGCTACTCTGCTAGTATGTCTTCCATTTTATCGAATGAGCAGAAGAAATTGAATAATCAAGTAAAGGAGAGCCCCGCTCTATGGTGTTTTGCTAATACAGGACTTCAAATTACGACCAAAATTCATCATACAGCTTCCTTCCTGAGTTGCTATTATGGCATCCATGTGCCAC